AACGCACCGTACATTTCTTCATTGCCTAGCTTAGAAATGAATTGTATGCCCTCGCCCGCTCCCTCTTCCTTGGCGGATAAATTCTGCACAGCACATAAAGGAAAAATCCTAAAGTTGGTGGGGAGCCCAGATTCCTTCCTCTCCAATTGTGCTGGCGGTGAGGAAAGCTGAGAGATTTTACAGGGAGACAACACATCTTACAGAGGCAATGTCCTGGAGGGGTGGGTGTGTGGGTTGGTGGGGAGGGGAAGAAACCAACAGAGGCAAAAGGGAGTTTCTCCCAGTGTCCGAGTTTACAATCCTGCAGACAATAACAATAATAATCCTTCAATCCTTCATATCGAGTCTTATCACGTCTTTAAGACATCTCAATGCACTTCAAAGAATATATTGTAAAGTGTAGTGACTGTGTATTTTGTGGGTGAAACACGGCAGCCAATTGCGCACAGCAGTGTCCCACAAACAGTCACGGATTGAGTGACCAAATTATTAATTATGTATTTTGAATATTTTTTTGAAAGGACTGTTACCCCTGGAAAAGCGATCCACCAATCGACTGACACCAGGGTCCTACTTACTGTCAGTTAAACGGAGACTTATGAAGCAAGGAAACTTGCTCCAGGAATTGAATATTTAGACTCAGATACAAACGAGGGAGGCACCGAGTGGACATCACGGGTTAGCCTTTAGCTGCTCAGAGGGACTAAAAACAGTTAATATCTGAGCTCAGGACAAGCCCCTGCAGAGGGGAGGCTAAACCAGTGACAGCTTGGGTCAAACCAAGCCTAAACTAAATCAGCCGCAGGAAATTCTCTCCTAAGACAGCCTGGTTTGATTTGATTTATGGAAGTATTTTAAAGAGGTCTGCCTAACAGGGAGAGTCTCGCGTAAATCACAGATAGCCTGGTCCTGCTCAGAGCTCCATTCATCATCCGAAGACCTTTGAAAAATGTGTGGGTTGCACTCCACATGTTCCAATTATCAACGAAAAATGTTAAGAAGGCAGCCGGTGAATAAAAATGTCAGGGCAATGAACCCTGGCGCTCTCACCTTAGGATTCAAATGCAAGGATTAATGTATTCAGTCCTGAAGTGAACTGTAGATCAGGAAATGGGGAGAAACTCCTCTCTCTTTTACGTTAGTGCGGTGGGTTTATCACCCCAACCGTCAATGCAGCTCTGCCCCAGGACTGCAGTGAACTCAAAGTCCCAATAATACAGGGCTCGAATCCACAACCTTCTGGCCCCGAGGCAAGAATACGGGTGGTGGGGGAGAGTGGGGGGAAACGAGGATGGGGGGAACAGATAGAAGAAGGCACTTTGTTAAAAAAAAGGTTTTAAAAATGAACGACAATTAATAAAACCTTGGGACACATTGAGGGCCGTTACACTGCGTGAGGAGCAGTACGTAAATACAAGTTGTTGTTGAGGGACAAGCTCTCCGTTCTCAGAGTCTCTCACTAAAGGCTGGTCTCACAGGCGAGTCCCAGTACAAAACATCGGGATAAACGCCAAGTCTGAGTTTCAATTTCTCCCAGCTCCTCCGAGGATAAGGGTTTATAAATTTTAATGATTCTTAAATTATCTTTCTGACCTTCCGAAATGTTATATGGGACTAGGCAAATATTCCCGTCCAAAATACAGCCACGAACCCAAGTGACATTGGCCACTGTCCAGGATCCTGTGAAGGACAAGGTTACCAGCAGCACAGATTCACTTCCCCACTTTCCTCTCAGACAGAAAACCTCAACAACAGCAGCAAATTACATTTGTACATCGCCTTTCATGTCGGGAGGACGTCCCAAGGTGTCTAGTCTCAAAACAACTCTACATATCCCTCCTTCCCCCAAGAGACACACACACAACGCCAATCGTATGTAATCCTACATGGGCACCAGTTAACTGCGCCACAGAACCGATCGATCCCACCTTGTGGCTCAGTTCCCGTTCCGATTGCCGCTGTCAGGAAAACGAGAGGGCACAAGAGCAGGAGAGTGAAGGGCAAGTTCAGGACGATTTGTTTCTTTGCAAGGAGAGTAATTAGCAGCTGGAAGAGGAAGAGGGTTTGATGCCAGGATACTGTGACTGAAACATCTCAGTGATGCAATGGAAAGTCAGTCATAGGAAGACAGCCGGGTGGGGATTCTTGAAGGTGGAGATCAAATAAACGACAACAACAACTTGCACTCTACACACGGTAGCGTCTCAGAGCGCTTCACAGTGGCGGAGCCTGACTCCGAGCCGGGAAGAGGGAGGGGCCATAAGCACGGTCGAAGAGGAAGGTTTTCAGGCAGGACCGGAAAAAGGGGAGAGAGGGGGCAAAGTGAAGGGACTGAGGGAGAGTGCTCCAGAGTTTTGGGGTGTAGTGGCTGAAAGCGCAACCTCCGATGGTGGGGGGGGGAGGGTGTGAGGGACGAGGAGGGGGTCGGTGCCCGTTGAGCAGAGGAGCCAGGTGGTGGATTGGGGAGAGAGGAGGTCGGAGAGGTAGGGAGGTGCCAGAGAGTGAATGAATTTGAACACAAGAGTGAGGATCTTGAAGTCGATCTGTTCGGTGATGTGGAGCCAGCGGAGCTTGGGCCAACCTGGTGAGATGTGGGTATGGAGTTTTGTCCGGGTCAGTATGCGGTAATTAAGTATTAGAGGTATCATAAAAATAATCCTTGTGTTTGATATAGCACCTTATCATGTCGTTGAGACGTTTCAAAGGGCTTCACAGAATATATTGTAAAGTGGAGTGACTGTATATTTTGTGAGTGAAACGCAGCATCCAATTGTACCGCAGTGTGGATTGAGTGACCAAGCGATCCGCCAATCGACTAACGACTGGGTTCCTACTGACTCCAGAGGAGGGTGGAGTAAGGAAATTTGCCCAAGGTTTCGCCCCATACAGGAATTGAACGTGGGTCCTCTCGCTTGCCGATGTGCGGAGTTATGGACGAAGACCTTCAGGAATTATGGAAAACCAGCTGCCAAAGCCAGACCGGGCTGAAGAGTTTTCCAAACGTCTACACCACCTTAAATTATAAGCCATGACCTGAAGGCCGAGACCGTGAGATATTTCAGGACCCCGAGGTTAACTCGCTCACTTCCTTGTTCTAAGGTTTCATTTCCAATAATCTTTCCTGTCTGTATCGCACTTCCTCGCTTGGCCTTCTCTTCGCATTTGCATCACGTGAGTGATAGGCTCGGATTTCCGGCTGTCTCCGGGAATGTGGGTCTCTCCCAGGCTGCATGGTTAGCCAATAGGAGCAGAAGTTCTCATGCTCGTGGGGTCTATACCCCACCATCAAAAGAAACAAATAAATAAATAAGTAAAACCCCACCATCGGTGGTCATACCTTCATCTCTCTGCCCCCATTCTTTGGAACTCCATTCCAATCCTTCGCCTCGTCCCCTCTCTTGCCCTTGCCTACGTCAAGGCCCATCTCAAGACCCTCCTCTTCAACCAACCCTTCTGTCATCCTTCCTACCTCCACCCTCTCTGCCCTCCACCCCTCATTATGCCAACCCCCAGTTCGGGTGCAAATCCTTGACTGTCCAGCGCCTTGGGTCATCCTCCCAAAGTGAAAGGCTCTGTGTAAATGTCATTTGTTGTTTTTGTCTTCAACACACAAACCAAACTAACAGTCACGTAAAGACTTAACTCATAGCTTTACTGTTTGGTCATATCCCACCCAGCCACTTCCCCCCCCCCCCCACTTACTGAATGTCCCGAATGGGGACGTACTCAAGCTCCCTGCTGCCCCGGAACAAAGGCTGTCTTTTCGTGCCTCGTCCCAGAACTAACCAGCTCAGGTTCCAGTTGTCACAGTAACCATTACGATGGAGCTTTCAACAATGCAATATGCAGTGTAAGCAGACTGCGTGGGGCCAGGGGAAATCTAATACCAACTTAATTCCATTTGTTGTAAAAATGCAAACTCTTGATGGCTGATGATTCGAAGTAGCTTCATCACAAATGGACATGTTATGGTATAACTTATTCAAGGTGGCCATTTGGGTATCAGAATCAATGACAAATATTTGATAACAATTGTATCGTACATTGAGATATTGGAATGTAATCGCACAGTGATGGGCTGGAATTTTAACGTCTTGAATACCCAACCCTTTGTCATCTGCAATTAATCCTGACACAACTCACAAGATCTATCCATAGCTGAGAAATGCCAAGGTTCCCCTCAGGAAAAGGCGTTTTAGTCAGGTCTGTCTGACTGTTCTGAATTTCTGGATTTATCTCCTAGAACGTGATAATGCCATTTACACCGCATACAGACACTACTTAACTGCTCAGACTTTTGATCAATTCACCTTCATAACTTCAGGCAACAGGGGACGTATAATCCAATAAAGCTACCCTTTATTACTGCACAATTCCGCACAGTCTCCCCGATGGACCGAGTGAGTGATGGTCACGGGGGCAAAGGGAACAGAGCTATGAAACAATGATTTAACACTCCATTACGCTTCTCAAAGCTTTCATTGCAGTTCCAATTTTTGCCCTCTTGTGAGCCGAAAGGGACCAATTTTTCAACCGTCAAAAACGTACAGAGGAGCTCCCATCTCCCTCGCAACAGTTTCCAAACGCAAGCCCCAGGTCAGGCACAAACTATGGGCAGCCTTCACTCACACTGCGCCAATGGGCGACCTGGGAGCTTTCGAGAGAAGCAGCCCAAGTGTGATCAGAGTCCAGTGTAGCAGATGGACTTCAGATCTTTTTGCCCACAAAATAGTCAATTCACTTCACGGTGTATTCTGTGAAGCGCTTTGAAACGTCTCAAAGATGTTGATAAGGCGCCACATCAAATGCAAGGATTATTATTATTATCTTCAAAGTTCTTTTTTGCCCTGGCCATCATAATCTCTTCCATTCCTATTACCCCTGCGCTCTGGGATGCTGCCCTCCGCGGGGGGCGGGGGGATGGGGCCATATAAATGCGTGTTGTTATTGTTGTTGCTCCCCCCTCCCTACTCCCACTGTGTAGTGTTTAATATACTCACAAATTCAAAGTCCCCGTCCTGCGGGACCTTCCAGCTATCAGAGGGTGAGTTCTGAGAGGCTTGCGTGTTCCGGTTGCTGCTGCAATTGTTAGCCTGGTTCTCTTTCTCCTTCTGCTCAAAGTATTCCAGGAACGACGGCTTGTTCTGCTGCATGGTGTCATCTCTCCCTGGGTGGGCAAAGAAACCAAACCCTCAGTTACACGGTCAGGGGGAGCCGCATGGCCACGGGTTTACAAGAGGTTCCAACTGTGTTGGTAACTGGATGTATGTCACTCTGATTTGTGGCCCCAGTGTAGATCAGTGGTTAGAGCCCACGCCTCGCAAGTGAGAGGGACCTAGGTTCGATTCCCGGTAGGGACAAATGTTGGGCAAGTTTCCTTACTCCACACAGATGCCTCTATTTACCTAGCAGTAAGTAGGAATCCAGTTGGTAGTCGATTGGGGGATCACTTTTCCGGGGGTAATAATCCCTTCAATATAAGAAAAATTGGTCCCTCAATGCACAGCTGTTTGTGAGATGCTACTGTACGTAAGTGGCTGCTGCGTGTCGCCCACAAACTATACAGTCAATTCACTTGACAGTATATTCTGTGAAGCACTTTGAGACGTACCAAATGCAAGGATTATTATTATTATTAATTATTATAAAACTACATGTGAAATAATTGATTTGTGGCTGCAGTGTCTGAAATATGGAATACATCTGAACTGGTGATTTTCAACCATTGGGATAAAATCAGAGAGATTTACATTCAGAAAGCTCAGCCCGGGGACGCACGTTTTTTACGTGCATAAAATGTCCTCGGGATCATGTAGCCGTCTACTTACCGCACATTTCAATAGGTAAATAAAATTATAAAGCGGATTTCCATACAATCGGATGTGGCTTAAGATCAGGGGAGCCATGCAATCACATTGGGTTAGAATTGCACAGTTCAGCCAGAAAAGACAACGATACTAATAATTCTTGCATTTGATGTAGCGCCGTATCAGGTCGTTGTGACGTTTCAAAACGCTTTTCCGAATATACTTGCATATATATAGTGCCCTTTACATGGGTTAACATGCCAGAGCACTTAAAAAGTGAACTGACTGTATATCTTGTGGGCGAAACGCGGCAGCCAATTGCACACAGCAGTGTCTCACAAACAATTGTGGTTAGAGTGACCAAATTATTATCATTATTATTATTATTTTTGAAGGGATTATTACCTCCAGAAAAGCGGTAAACCACTGCATTCGCTCTATACAAAGCCTCTCAAGCATGCATAGCCGGAAGAATTCCCTTCAGTAACAATGCCACTCAATCCATGTGTGTGACATCTCCTCCAATAAATGGGTGGCTTGGGAGAGGAGCATTTCTCTACAAACATGGAATTGCACTATAACTGTCCTTTAACAAAAACACAACTGAAAGCATTTATCGTCTCAATCGATATGTTTTGAGAGAGAGGGCGGGGGGTGGGGGGAGAATGGACATTTGGTAAGGGGTCAAAAATAATGCGGCAGAATTCAGAATAATCCTTACACAAGCGCGTAAAGCAATCTGTGTCTCCAGTAACACACAGCAGTCGCTGAGTTCATTCCAATATGAATGCTCACAGCACAGAATAAACCCTCTCGTATCTGTTCGGTGATTCACTCTGTCCAATTTGGAACTTTACTTTAATTCCATTCCCCTGCCACACTGGAGCTCTCTACTTTAAATCAATTATTAACAATAATAATAATCCTCGATATAGCGCCTTATCACGCCATTGAGACCTCTCAAAGCACTTCATAGAATATACTGTAAAGCGGAGTGACTGTGTATGTTATTGGTGAATCAATTCTGTGCTTTCCCCCTACCCTTTAATATTATTTTTCTTCCAGTATCTATTTATATAATTCCCTTTTATGGGCTGTGATGGACTCAACAATAACGTGTGGTGAGGCATTCCATCATCTAAGAATCCCCTGTGCAAAAAAAAACAAAAACCCTTTGACATCAGCCTTTTTTATTCTGTTCGTGATCCTTAAGTTACTGACTCAGTGGAAATTGCCTCTCTATTTACCCGAGAGAAACCATTCAGTTTTGAAACCCTCTATTAAATCCCATTAACCTGCTCTGCTCCAGTGAAAATCAATCCCCAATGTATTTGAGTTTCTCCACAATGTAACTTGTCAGTCCTAAAACAAAACAGCCCCCCCACCCTCCAAAAAAAATAAGATTTGTTATAACTTGTAATTTAAAGATAAACTCCAGGCAAACAGAGCACGCTCTGTTAAATGGCAACATCAATTCAACTCCTCAGTTTCACGGCTTGTGAACTGCAGACTATGTCTTGATCCAGCAAATGTGGACCGCACAAGCAGCTTAAATTACGTAAAACATTGGTCATTTTCACGTGGAGCCTCTTCCAAGACATGACAGCAACGAGAAACACGCCTGCGACCTGCTCTGTTGTGCTGAATTAGGAGATTTCATTTCAATAACCCATTTCCCTCGTGGTTTGTTTTTAATTTAAAATTCAGAGATAAATCTTTGCGATCACATCCTCCCTGTGAAACATGTTCTCCTTCACATCTGACGCTCGCTGGCCTCTACTATACACAGTGTCTGTGTGACCCACACTGTCCCTTCTAGTGGGTTTGGGCTCCACACTACCATCCCCATTGCTGGAAGGTGTGTGTTCTTGGATGCAATGGTAACTATTCTTTGAAAGAGTTCTACCAGTGCCTTGGGACGTCCTCCCAACGTGAAAGGCACCATGCAAATGTAATCTTGGATTGAATTGTACCAACGGGTGAAAACATTTTCCTGCAAAGGATAGTAGGAATCTGGAACTCATTCCCTCCCCCAAAGGCTGTGGACTATGGTTGGATCCATTCACATTTTCAAGACTGAGAGGATTGAAGTTTGTTAGGTCAGGGGATCAATGGATATGAGGCAAGGGCGGGTAATTGGAGTTGAGGTACAGATCAGCCATGATCTCATACAATGGCAGAACAGGCTCGAGGGGCTGAATGGCCTACTCCTGTTCCTATGTTCCTACCACACAAGTAATTCAGATAATGGAACCAAGGTTGAGAGTGTGAGTTCAAATGATCGAGAGTATATATATATATATATATAGAGGGGTGGGGGGAGAGGTCAGAACCACTATTTCACAGCGCCCCTGTATATTCATCTGTTAAATCATAAGGAACCTGTTGCTTAGAATTCAACGGCCAAGAAAAATCGTAGCCAAAACACATGGCTTTCAGGATGAAATATTTTGCGAGGCTGGACAATCGGGAGATGTGAGTGAGAGAGACAGCGCTGCCTTTGAACGGCCTCTTCAGTCACTGAGAGTGAGCGCCCTCTTCCTTACCACCCCTTTGCCCAGCAGACATTAATCTCGAGAAAAGGACTTTCCATTACTGACGAGTTTTCTCCTTCAAGGCACACGGTCAGACGGCTAATTCAATTTCCACATAAATGGTGGAGAATTTAAAGCACTTAAGAGAGAGAGGGGGAGAGGTGGGTGGGGGGTGGGAAAGAAGGTACACTTCAGGCAAGAACACGTCAATAACTAATGCATCTTTCAACGAGCCGCTCGCTAACACACCTCCACTGGGAAGTCAGCGTCTCGTGTCTAGTGGTGATGCAGTTGCCCAGATATCAGCTCTGAACGGACTTGGATTTGGATTTTGCTATTCTCTGCTGCGAAAGGGAAAGGCAGCACCAGTGTCTGTGCTCAGACAACAACAACAACAAGATTCCATTTATTGAGCGCCTTTCACGTCGGGAGGACGTCCCAAGGTGCTGTACAGTTGGGTCAGGACCCGAGCAAGGGGGAAATGGTCAGGGTGAGGGGAGGGAGGGAGCGAGGAGGGGGTAGAGAGTCGAGAGGGGAGCTGAAGGCACGGTCAAAGAGAAAGGTCTTGAGACCGGCCTTGAAGGAGGAAAGGGAGGAAGCGGCGAAGGCACTGGGGGATAGAGTTCCAGAGCCTCGGGGCTGAAAGGCTGAAGGCCCGTCCACCGATGGTAGGGCGGTTGGGGCGGGGGATGTGGAGCAGACCGGAGCCAGAGGAACGGAGGGTACGGGCAGGTAGGTAGGGGGATAGTAGGTTGGAGAGGTAGGAGGGAGCGAGGCTGTGAATGGCCTTGTAGGTGAGGATGAGGATCTTGAATTTGATTCTCTTGGGGATGGGGAGCCTTTGGAGGTGAGCGAGGGTGGGAGTGATGTGGGCACGAAGCCTGGTGCGGGACAGTACACGAGCTGCAGAGTTCTGAATGACCTGCAATGTGGAGGGAGGTGCCGGGAAGGCCGCGAGGAGAGAGTTCCCATAGTCCAGCCTTGAGGTGATAAAGGCGTGGACCAGAGTTTCAGCCGCGTGAGGGGTGAGGTAGTGCCGTAGTCTGGTGATGTTTCGGAGGTGATGGAAGGCGGTGCCAGTTGTGGCGCGGATATGAGGGAGAAAGGACAGCTCAGGGTCGAAGAGAACACCGAGGTTCCTGATGACTTTGAGAGGTGGAGAGTGCGGCCTTGGATGCTGATGGTGTCAGCGCCTGAGGTGCGGAGGCGCTGACGTGAGCCAATCAGGAGGGCCTCAGTTTTACGCACATTGAGCTGAAGAAAGTTATCTCTCGTCCAGGACTCGATGTCGGAGAGGCAGCTGTCAGGACATCGGTGGTCGTGGAGTTGAGGGTAGAGGAGGAAAGGTAGAGTTGGGTGTCATCCGCATACATGTGGAAGTTAACCCCATGTCTGCGGATGATGTCACCACAGGGGGAGCGTATAGAGGGTGAAGAGGAGGGGACCGAGGACAGAACCCTGAGGGACACCGCACGAGACAGTGCGGGGGGTGGAGGAAAAGCCGTTTGTAGAAACAAAACAAAGACCCCTTACTTCCCTCTCTCTCCCTCTAACCACTGTCTCATTCCTTTTTCTTTCTGTCTTTGTCTTGCCTCCACGAATGCACCTATGGCCACCTCCCCTCTCTTCCCCACCTCCACCACTGACTTGGGATCGAACGCTGTCTCTGTAAAGTGCTCTGAGTTATTGCCCTATGTGAAGGGGGCTATATAACTGAAAGTTGTTGTTATAATAATAACAATAATAAAAATCCTTGCATTTGGTATAGCGTCTTATCACATCGTTGCGACATCTGTAAAGTGGACAGACTGTGTACTGTGTGGGCG